GGCTGAGGCAGGAGAATTGCTTGAACCCGGGTGGCAGAGGTTGCAGTCAGCCGAGATTGCGCCACTGTACTCTAGCCTGGGCGAAAGAGGGAAACTACATCTCAAAGAAAGAAAGAAAAAAAAAAAGACACTGTAGCTACCATCTTGGTTATTGGTTATATGCTCTCTCTTGCTCTCTCTCCCTTTCTCATAACATTTGCTCTGAAGGAAGCCGGTGGTCATGCCATGGGCAGCCTTATGGAGAGGACCATGTGGTGAGGAACTCAGCCAATAGCCATGTAACTGAACTTGGAAGAGGATCTTGCTGTCCTGGCCAACATCTCACTGCAATTCTACCAGTTGCATGCCCTGGATAGTCCAAGCTTTGGGGATCCCTCCACCAGAATAACTGGATCCCAGTACCTGAATCCTGAATCGTAGACTCTTATACTTCAAACACTGAACCACAGAAACAGCTGGCTCAGCAGCTCCTGAGTTCCTAATGCTCAGAACATGGGTGAGATGATAAACGTTTGTTGTGTTAAGCTGCCACGCTTTGGCGGGGGGTAATTTGTCACATAGCAATAGCTGGCTAATATATATGCGCCTGCATGTATATGATTTTGTCACATTTTTTTTGGTTTTGGTTTTGGTTTTTGAAACAGGATCTCACTCTGTCCCCTCCCCAGGCTGGAGTGCAGGGGTGCAGTCATGGCTCACTGCAGCTTCAAACTCCCAGCCTCAGGCGATCCTCCCACCTCAGCCTCCGGAGTAGCTGGGACCACAAGCGCACACCACCATGCCTGACTACTTTTTTTTTTTTTTAGAGACTGGATCTTACTCTGTCACTCAGGCTGGAGTGCAGTGGCACAATCATAGCTCACTGCAGCCTCTAATTCTTGTGCTCAAGGGAGCCTCTCCCTTCAGCCTCCCTCGTAGCTGGGACTACAGGTGCACAGGACCACACCTGGCTAATTTTTAAAATTTTCTGTAGAAAAATTTCTTGCTTTGCTGCCCAGGCTGGTCTTGAATTCCTGGACTCAAGTGATCCTCCTGCCTCAGCCTCCTAAGTAGCTGGGATTACAGGCGTGCACCACCACACTCAGCTAATTTTTGTTATTTTTAGTAGACACGAGGTTTTATCATGTTGGCCAGGCTGGTCTCAAACTCCTGACCTCAGGTGATCCACCTACCTTGGCCTCCCAAAGTGCTGGAATTACAGGTGTGAGCCACCACACCCAGCCAAAAATAATTTTTAAAAATTAGCCGGGCGTCACTTTGGGAGGCCAAGGTGGGCGGATCACGAGGTCAGGAGATCGAGACCATCCTGCCTAACATGGTGAAACCCCCGTCTCTACTAAAAATACAAAAAATTAGCCCGGCGTGGTGGTGGGCGCCTGTAGTCCCAGCTACTCTGGAGGCTGAGGCGGAAGAATGTCGTGAACCTGGGAAACGGAGCTTGCAGTGAGCCGAGATCGCGCCACTGCACTCCAGCCTGGGTCCAGCCTGGGTGACACAGCGAGACTCTGTCTCAAAAAAAAAAAAGAAAAAAAAATTAGCCGGGTATGGTGTCTGCGCCTGTGTTCCTAGCCACTCAGGTGGCTGAGGTGGGAGAACCACCTGAGCAGAGAGGTCAAGGGGATTGATCTTAATTGTGCCACTGTACTCCAGCCTGGGTGACAGAGTGAGACCGTCTTCCCATCAGCTGTTTAGCAACCTTAATTCGTTTCTTTTTTTGGAGACAGGGTTCTCGCTCTGTCACCCAGGCTGGGGTTCAGTGGCAAGATCTCAGCTCACTGCAGCCTCCACCTCCCAGGCTCAAGCAATCCTTCCACCTCAGCCTCCTCGGTAGCTGGGACTACAGGCATGGACCACCATGCCCAGCTAATTTTTGTATTTTTTGTAGAGACAGGAGTCTGGCCACATTGCCCAGGCTGGTCTCGAACTCCTGGGCTCATGTGATCCACCTGCCTCAACCTCCCAAAGTGCTGGTATCATAGGCGTGAGCCACTGCGCCCAGCCTAGCAAGGTTTTGTTGTTGTTGTTGTTGTCATTGTTTGTTTGTTTGAGATGGAGTCTTGCTCTATTGCCCAGGCTGGAGTGCAATGGCCCAATCTCGGCTCACTGCAACCTCCGTCTCCTGGGTTCAAGCAATTCTCCTGTCTCGGCCTCCAGAGTAGCTGAGATTACAGGGGCCCGCCATCAAGCCTGGCTAATTTTTGTATTTTTAGGAGAGACTGGGTTTCATCATGTTGGTCAGGCTGGTCTCGAACTCCTAACCTCAGATGATCCACCGGCCTCGGCTTCCCAATGTGCTGGGATTACAGGTGCGAGCCAGCACATCTGGCCTAGCAACCTCAATTGTATCTGCAAACTTAATTCCCCTTTGCCATGTAACAAATGTAAGTCAGCCCGGGCTGCTATAAGGAAACACTACAGAGTGGGGTCTTAAACTGCAGACATTTATTTCTGGAGGCTGGGAAATCCAAGGTTAAGGTGACTGGCTAGCTCAGTTCCTGCTGAGGGATTTCTTCCTACCATGCCTTCTTGCTGTGTACTCCCATGGTAAAATGAGAGAGAAAGAGCTCAGGTTTGTCTATTTCTTATGGAACTAATTCCATCTTGCAGGGGCCATCGTCATGAGTTCATCTAACCCTAATGAGCTCCCAAAGGCCCTATCTCCAAATTCCAGCCCACTGGGAGACAGGGCTTCAACATAAGAATTTTGATAGGGCCCAGTGTGGTGTCTCATGCCTATAATCCCAACACTTTGGATGAGGCAGGAGGATCACTTGAGGCCAGGAGTTCAAGACCAGCCTGGGCAACATAGCAAGACCCCCTACAGAAACGAAAACCAAAAGTAGCCAGGCTGGTGGCGTGTGCTTGTGTAGTCCCAGCCACTCAGGAGGCTGAGGTGGGAGAATCACTTGAGCCGAGGAGATTGAAGCTGCAGTGAGCCATGATTGCACCCCTGCACTCCAGCCCAGCCTGGACAATAGAGAAAGACCCCTTCTCTGAAAAAAAAATTAACAAAAAATTAATTTTGAGCTGGGCGTGCTGGCTCACGCCTATAACCCCAACACTTTGGGAGGCTGAGGCAGGTGGATCACTTGAGGTCAGGAATTCAAGACTAGCCTGACCAACATGGCGAAACCCCATCTCTACTCAAATTACAAAAATTATCCAGGTGTGGTGGCAGATGCTGGTAATTCCAGCTACTTGGGAGGCTGAGACACGAGAATCACTTGAACCCAGGAGGCAGAGGTTGCAGTGAGCCAAGATCGAGTCACTGCACACCAGTCTGGGCGACAGAGCAAGATTCCGTATCAAAACAACAACAACAGTAATAATAATAATTTTGGGGTCGAGCGCGGTGGCTCACACCTGTAATCCCAGCACTTTGGGAGGCCGAGGCGGGCGGATCACGAGATCAGGAGATTGAGACCATCCTGGCTAACACGGTGAAACACCGTCTCTACTACAAATTTAAAAAATTAGCTGGGCGTCGCGGCAGGCGCCCGTAGTCCCAGTTACTCAGGAGTCTGAGGCATGAGAATGGTGTGAACCTGGGAGGCAGAGCTTGCAACGAGCCGAGATCGAGCCACTGCACTCCAGCCTGGGCGACACAGTGAGACTCCGCCTCAAATAAATAAATAAATAAATAAATAAATAAATAAAAATAATAATTTTGATAGGACACAATTCAATTTATAATGATAACATATTTATTGGTTGGGAGGATCAGGAGGTGGACGTTTGGGGGAAAGGGGCCATCAAGCTACCCACCACACCCAGCGAGGTCACAGGGGCGGTTGTGACTTCATCCCCCTCTTGGTCCCCCACACAACCCTCCCACTAGACACTCCCGCATGGTAGCTGGAGCGGCAAACTACTGCTTAGAGATTTGAAGCCAGGTGTCCTAACTTCCTCCATGGGCGCTCAGCCTGGAGAACCTCAGAACCCTTGCTCCAGGATCCAGACGCTCTTTAGGAGGGTCAAGACCTTACTCATCAAAGCCCCGCCTCCCCCGCCACCTCCACCCCCACCCCCATCCTGGAACCCTGGCTGTACACACGTGTATGGATACGTGTTTGGACACATGCATGACAACAACCTTGACCATCTCCCGTCACAGCAGGTGAGTTCAAGAAACACCGGTGTCCGAGCGCCTCTGGTCGGGACTGCAGGGAGAGGCCAGGCTACCCCCACTCTCTATGGGCCCACTCCCCCACTAGCAGACCTAGAATTCCACCTTGAAGCAGGGCAGGGCAGGGAGGCAGGGCGCGATGACTCACGCATGTAATCCCAGCACTTTGGGAGGCAGAGGTGGGCGTATCACTTGAGGTCAAGAGTTAGAGACCAGCCTGGCCAACATAGTGAAACCTGTCTCTAATAAAAAGAAAAATACACAAAAATCAGTCAGGTGTGGTGGTGCACACCTATAATCCCAGCTACTCAGGAGGCTGAGGCAGGAATTGCTTGAACCTGGGAGGTGGAGGCTGCAAGTAGCTGAGATCATGCCACTGCACTGCAACCTGGGCAGCAGAGCAAGACTCCGTCTCAAAAAAAAAAAAAATGCAGACTGGGGGGAACCTGGTGGGTCTTTCACCAGGAGGGTGCCCTAGATGTGTGTCTGGGGAAGGTGCCCCAACCTGGCTGAGGATGAGGGAGGGCCGGGTCTTCCCTGCAGGTGCTGGACACAGGAGAGCAGCTGATGGTCCCTGTGGAAGTCCTGGAAGTGGATAACGAGGGGACCTTGTGGAAGTTTCTGCTCTCAGGAGCAATGGCTGGGGCGGTGTCTCGCACAGGCACGGCACCTCTGGACAGAGCCAAAGTGTACATGCAGGTGTGTATGGGTTGGAGGGAGGACGGGACACAGTGCTGGAGCCACTGGGGAGAACGTGGGGTGAGGACAGATAGAGTTGACGTAGATGGAGTTCAGGATGGCAGTGCTGGTTGGAGTGGGGCTCTCCTGGACTGGTTGAGATTGAGGTTGTGGGTGGTGATGGAGCTGGTGTGGACCTGGCTTGGAGTCGAGTTAGAGGAGTTGAGAGAACTAACCAGGGACAGGGGCCAACGCTGGGCCAAGGTAGGGGTTGGAGGTCAGGGAATTAGGGGTGGGGTCTTTGGAAGAGTTTAAAGACAGGGTAGGGGCCAGGCGTGGTGGCTCATGCCTCTAATGCCAGCACTTTGGGAGGCCCAGAGGAGGCAGATCACCTGACGTCAGGAGTTTGAGACCAGCCTGGCAACATGGCGAAACCCTGTTTCTACTAAATACAAAAAAATTAGGCCGGGCGCGGTGGTTCAAGCCTGTAATCCCAGCACTTTGGGAGGCCGAGACGGGCGGATCACGAGGTCAGGAGATCGAGACCATCCTG